CTGTTTGGAATTTGAATGTCGTCTCTTTCGATGTTGATGTCTAAGCACAGTGTGTGATCGAGGTGGTCGAGTCCAAACGCTGAAGAGACAAAGTGACGTGATGTGCAGCGGTTTTATTTGTCCCTGCTACTTTTCATAAAACTGATTTGACGATCATAATCTCTAAATTTAACAGATTTTTAAAAAATATCTAATTTCCGTCTCATTCCTGCTCTCGCTCACTAACAAATACCAATGATGATGTAACCTCCTCCCTGGAAGTAATCTTCAGCGACACAGTGGTAATTTGAACATAAACAAGCTGGTTCTATTTGTTTTCTTTATTTGTCGCCATAAATGTTTTTTAAGTTGCACTGACGGCCATTATAGTTTCTATAGGTTTGCGTTCCTCGTTCACAAGCAGGTTTTTCCCTCAGAAAGAAAAATGGCTTCCACAGGGCCAGAAAAGTCACAGGTAAACAAACACTGAGGAGATCTCTCAGTTATGATTTGTAATGTTACATAATGTACTGGATGTTTTAACTGCTTCACACAGGCCATCAAAATTTACTGTAGATAAAAGTTAGTGCAGTAAAATTGGTGATAAAAGTATGTTGTATAGAATTCATCTCCACATAAATACCAAACACATTAACACTTTCTCTTCCCTTTGTTACGGTTGTGAGTCTTGAAAGGACGACAACATGGAACCCAGAGTCTCCTGTGTCCACGGTGAAGTTTTGTCAGTGTTACTCTGTGCTCACAGTTCTGTTGAAATTATACAAAATAATCTGACGCTCTGTGAATTAAATTACAATCTCAAAGCAGCTTCATTGATTTTAGAGGAGATTCAGTTAAACACTTCTTACCTGTGACATTGATCTAAAGGAGGATTCAAACAGCAATTAACCAAAACATCCGTTTTACATGAAAAGTTGTTTTAACAAAGCTGCAGAGTCGTTGCCAACAGTCTTACAGGATATTCCCCACTTTTCTTGAATCGGTGTTTGGACTCACACCTCGTCCGTGTGTGTATGTGTGAGTGTTTTTGGATGTGTGTGTATGTACATGTGCGTTTCCCAATGTAACACAAGTGGCTGAAGTTGAAATGGTTTCTTCTTCACCTGGCTGCCTTTTCTGTTGATGACTGAAGCTGAGGGCTGCGTCAGCTGTGCCATAAGGTTCTCACCACTGCTCCGTCCACCAGTGGTCTTTATCTGTGCCGACCTGATCCAGCCACATGAATCCACCATTCCATCTCGTCTTACAGAAACACCCGCTGCTTATCATTTTCTACAGTTGCCCTGTGTCACACATGTCCACCTGGATCTTCATACAACATCCACCGTCCTCTCGCTAATGAGCTTATCGAACAACTCTGCCGGAGGAAATCTCTTTAATATCACTAAAAGCAAGAAAAGGGAGACTGACTGATGATATATCATTGAATTCTACGTGTGTTTTGCATTTCCAGGACATTCCCTCATCCCCCTGTGACGATTGCAGTGTCGTACAACCAGTGTCATGTTAACCAAGGCCAAGTCGGAGGGAGCAGCTTGTCTTTTATGTGCACTAACACAAAATTGATATTTTAACTTCAAGACGTGTGTGTGTTTGTTTAAAAGTTATCCTGAGCACAGAGCATAATTATTTTTTAACTGATGATTGTCGTCGCTGAGAGGACAGCTGCCAATTTATAATCTACTCCAATTCCCAGTTAATTTCCACGATGAGCAGGCGGTGAGTTGGATCAGAGGTGTGAATGTGTGTGTGGAGTTTACAGTTTTACTGTGAAACCACAGTCCTGTTACACGTGGAGCCCCTGATCCTCGACTGGTGCGACTCCAACGCTGTTTGCTGTACAGTATCTGTCTGGCCTGCATTAATAAATTCCAGTTTTTCAGTTCACTGGTGCACTTTGAGATTTTATTGAGTGACTCAACACAATTCTGCAACAGCTAAGATTTTAAAAAGGAATTCAGATTCAAACTAAATGGACTTTATAACATGTGATGTTCTAATGAAATCAGATTCAGTTTCAGTCAGACTGGTTGTTCTAATGACAATAATAGTGATAAATGTTAAAATTGTTATTAATGTTAGCAACAGTTAAAAAGTGGTTACTAATAATAATAATATTAACGTCAGTCTATGTAAAGTTGGGATTTTTTCAGGAATACAAAAACTTAGTGTCTGGAATATTCACATTTGCCCTTTCCATCTCTAGATATTCACAATTTGACGACCAGTGACCAGTTAAAGATTTACCATAATCAAGTGTGAACATATTTCTTGTGACTTTACTTCATGTATAAAGAGCCCAACTGCTGGAGAGGAGTCAAATCCTACCCACAAACTAGAATAAATAGTCAAACCATGATGTTATTATGACCAGAATCTTTTAGGAGTGAACTTATACATGATTTCAAACCAAAGATATGATTGATTGCATTTAATGGATTCAAATTACATGAAATAAATGTTAAGCATCAAGAGATCGCTGAATGAAGCAAGTTTTTGAAACCACCAATTTGACAGTGGAGAACACTGTTTTTGCAGGAGACAATTCAATACTACACACTTATGATTCTGAGGTTGTTCAAATCCCCACTGTGTCGCTGTGATATAACCAGTCACATTCAGATCCGACACAAATGGGATTTAAATTCAAAGACATTAAAGCTGAGATTATTATTTGAACAATAAAACTGACTTTGTTTGAAAGTTATTTTCAAAAAGCTGAGAAGGGAATTTATTTATTCCTTCTCTGACCCTGTTCCTTGTGGTGTGTTGTCCTGGAAATACAGATCGACGTACTGCAGGATGTGGTCGACGGCGCTGAGGAGCAGCACGTCGGTGTTCATGTCCAGGTCCAGCTCTGAGGAATAGTTCTTCACCGGGACGATGTAGGAGGTGGACATACCCAACAGATCTGCAGCTTTACGCATCTACAGGAACAAACTCTGTCAAATCACTGTGACATTTTACAGAACGTTTCTCAAACTGGTTTGTTTTGACCCACCATCTCACGTATCGTGAGGCTCTTGTAAATCTCGGAGACGTCTTTGGCTGTTTGTGGACAGACTTCATCCACATGGGTCAGCAGAGCCACCTGGTGGATACCTGACACACACACACAAACATACACACTACAGTTTTATTGCAGTTATCAGAAAAACAGCATTTCACTGTTCTATATCTCAACCAGGGGTATTAAATTAAAATTCACAGAGGTGCAGGAAGAGTACATTTACCCCAGGAAAGTTCTGAACATCATAAATATCTAACCACTACTTCAATCCAGAGCAATTTACAGGATATCAAAATATGAAATGTATCACCATCTGTGTGTGGTTAGGAGAATGTAACACACAGCAAACCTGAGGGATTATGTACAAGTCTGTAATAAAACAAACCATAACTATCCATAACGTTATAAAATCAAAATGTTTAAATTGTCAATGATTTATTGGTTATAGGTCTTTTATAATATATCTATTCTACAGAAATGAGTGACAGTGTTTTCAGATTCAGGGAAAACGAATGAGGGACAAAGGTTTAATGTCTGAAGACCACTTGTTTGTCCTTGGCTCACCCAGGTCACTGATGTGCTCCCTGAGCTGTTGGAACGTGGCTCTGAGGCCTTTGGAGTACGCCAACATATTAGAGGCGTCCACCACAAAGGCCACACAGTGGATCTTGTCTTTTAGGCTCGGCCACTTCACGTAGTTTCCAGTCTCTGATCTCACTGCCTGGTCCGGGCGGAACTAGAGGAGACGAAGGAAGAGAGTCGATGTTCGGTAGTGAAATAACACGTTTGAACCGAGATGTTAGGAGGATGAGCGGTAAATCAAATTTCCTGGGAAATCTCATAAACAACCAATGTGAACTCCGGGATCTGCACTAAAACCGGGTCTGTCTCGGCTCGTGCTTCTTTGGTTTCAGTGTAATCCTGCTGACAAACAAACAAACGGGTGGAAACAGAACCTCCTTGGCTGAGGTGAAAATAAACATATAACTTTGCTCTACCTTGTGTCCCTCAGGTACGTGACCTTTAATGACCGTCAGGATGTCGTGGAGGGTCAGTCCGGTCATCTCTCCGTCCCCCAGACCCATAGCATCACACAGCACCAGTCTGGTCGGATCTTCTCTCTTCTGACCCAAGATGTTGAACGACTGCAGCTAACACACATAGAAGGAATTCATGGGATGGGCGAATGTAAGTGTGTGTGTGTGTGTGTGTATGTAGCCTCCTCATGCATAAACTCAATTATTTGATTTCACCTGAACAATGAAATTCAAGGAAAAGAAAAAGGGAACAACAGCAGCTTCAGTGATTTCTCTGATGTTCATGCTTCTGCTCCTCTTGTACCTTTTTGGTGAAGCTGGTTGAGGAGGAGCCCACCATGGCCCGGTTGGTGACTCGTCCGTTAAACACTGACTGGACTGAACTGATGAAGCTGGACTTTCCGGACCTGGCGGGGCCCAGGAGGAGAACCCTGGCATGAGTCACCTCCCCACTGCTCGGTGAGTAGGAGCAGATGGACTCCATCAGGCTGGTCCTTCGCCTGTAGGTTGAAATTTAAAGGGATGGTTCACCCAAAATGACAATTCACCCATTATCTCCTCACCACTATGGAGAGCAGGGTGAGTGGTGAGTAGATGGATGGAAAAAAAGGGGGGAAATGGGATAATTCAGAACGTTTTCACACCTGAAACCTGAACCAAGGTTTTTGTTTTTGTTAAATTGTTTTCATGTGATCAGGTAGTTTGGCTTTCACGTTGTAATAAAGACATTTGTACGACATGCGTACGTCCTGTCATCGTCACCTACATGACAATGACTGCGTGTTGTCACTGTCTCAGTTTGAATGGGAAAAATTAATGATCTGATTCATTTCATTAATTTCATTGCCACTGAAATACGGCAAAACTAAGGTTCTCGTCTCAAAAGTCTGAAATAAGTTTGAAGTTTGAAATGAAAATATAACGTCCTTCGAACTGAATATGATCCTTTATGTCTCCTTTGATTGAATATAACTTTACTCACTCTTCTGTCCACTGCACATCCCTCCACGGAGAGACCAAGTTGGCTTTACCTGCTGAAGACAGTTTAAGAGTTAATAGGACATTTCATGAAACAGCTACGGTGGAGCTTACGACCAGCTTCATTCATTCTGAAAGTCTTGGTGTGCAACCGTTCAGTAGTTTACCTTTGAAATCAAAAAGTGTGTCTGTCTTTCTCTCTGTTACACTGACAGCGTTGAGCGCTGGGCCACAAGCAGTTTGGACTGAATCTGTAACTTTTATTCCACCAGAGCTGCGGAGGGAAACACTCATACACATCAGAGGAAGGAAATCCATGAAGCAAAAAGCAGAAAATGTGTTTTCACAAATAACAGATAATAACAAAACTACGCAAGTGACCTAAAGGTGTCGAACATTTGACCCATTGCTCATGTTCTTATTCTGTACTGAAGATTGGAGCTTGGTTTATTGAATGTCACAGTTTTACTCACATTTCTTTTGAATCTGCATCTTTCACTGCACCGTTCTGGTTAAGTCCTGAACAGAGTGTAAGAGTCATTGAGGATTAATCAAACATCCAGTCTCTCTCTCTAAAACACTCACTGGTCTTGGTTTGAAACAGTTTTACCTGCAAACGTGAAAGATGGTGCTTTTATTTTGTCCGTTCTGCTTGTGATAGTTGAAAATGTTTTCAGAGCATCAAAGGCCTTCGCTGATGTGCTGCTGGTGGGATTAGAAGAAGCTGCTCCAAACGATGTGGAGCTGGTGATACGGAAAACAATCATGTACGTCAAAGGAAGACGATCAATAGAACAAAAGAAAATGAACAGAATATCTTTGGTTAAATATCTTGCGGTTAAAATATGATAAACGTGACTTAAAGGTAGCAGCATTGTTGATGTGGACAAAGACAAATAAGAGTTTCCCTTGACGAGTCAGGACAAATCAGCCAAGCTGAGTTTTGTGATCAAATATGAGATTCAAATAAAACATGTGCAAGAATAATACAAAACAATTAAAACATCCTCAGCCATGTCTTACACCCATGAACAGCACATTAACATCCAATCCTGTCTTTCTTTTAGTCCCATGAAGTCTCAGATTGCACCATTGCCTTAAAACAAGTGGTGTGGGAATACATGTTGTTCTGAATTATCAAGTAAATAATCCATTAATTGAGAAATAATCATTATCTCCAGGTTGTTAGCTCCAGCCTGAGTCACATCTCGACCACAAAACTGTAAAACTATAAAATGTCATTTTGAATGTGTTCATATTGCATCATACTTTAAATGTTCCCTGATCTGCATGTCCCATGTGTACGTGTGTTACAGCAGTGACAAATAAAACTGGAGCCGCAAAATGAGCTTGAACTATTATTAACTAATCAGTGATTGACGGCTGATGTGCAGCTTTTCACATCAGTTATCGTGGATGAGAATGAGGCATCACACTGGCTCATATAAAATCAACTTTAATCTGAAATCAAATGTGAAATTCCCCCTGAGAGCTGATCCTGTGGAAAAACTTCTACAAGTAAAATGATTACTTATTTACAAAGTTCCACTAAATACCATGCGTGTGAGGTTTCTACTTATTTACGAAAGTATCGCATCGATGTGTATGTGTTTATGTAAAATACCACAAAAATAAAAGCAAAGAAGTAGAATGAGAAGAGTTCAGAGCGGTGTACAAGGGTGCTGCACCGCCCCCTGAGGTAAGAGACTGTTACTACAAGCCCGTTCAGACAGCAAATCAATACAAATAACTTTCATTTAATTTCATCAAACCTTCTGACAGAAGCAGAGCAGCGTTCTTACTCTTAGTGATAATGTATCTGATTCTCGAACATTCATGTGTTTTCTATGTTTCACATCCTCCTGCATGTAGCTCAAGATAGATAGATTACTTTCTTCATCCGCAAAGGGAAATCAGGTAATGCACTGACAGTCACTTTCCTCTGTTGTAGCGTGAAGGTTTTAACTTGGTGACGATACAAATCAACACAGAAACCCACATGTTGCACTGCAGCGCCTTTAACATGATTTCATATTAAATAAGGAGAAATTCTTTCTGCACCAACTCTGACTGACTCCCATCGTCCATGATGCTGAGTGACATGACACAAACACACACAGGTGCGTTATTTAAGCGTCTCCCTCTGTAACATCCCTTTCTTTCAGTGAAAACCTCCCCAGCTCTGGTGTTTATTCACTTACTCCATCGTGAGTCCTGTGTGGAGACGAGTCGTCCTCCAGCAGCTGCAGGGACGAAGAGAGCAGAAACTCAGGCAGTGGCTTTTCTGACGAATAGAAAGTGAAAGTGCTGGAGACGCGCTCACGCACACGCGCCCACACAGACACAGACACAGAGCGAGTGTCTGAGGACGTTCAGTGTGTTGTTGACGATAATACAGTTAAACTGAGGCTGCGACGTTTCCTCAGAAATCACACACATACACTTTCATTTCATGTCCTCCGGTGAAACTGACACCACAGAGTTTCACTGTTTCATGGAGGAGACACACCCCCTGACTGTTATTTATACTGTCTACAAGTTAAACACACACACACACACCCTGACTGATATTTATACTGTCTACAAGTTAAACACACACACACACACACACACACACACACACACAGCGATGATTTGATCATCAATTACTACTTAGAAAAGATAAAATGATCATTTCTTCCTCCCACAGTGAGGAGTTTTACTGTGATGCAGTAATAATAGCATAAAAATAGACAGTGGTCAAAGTAATAAATAGGTAAACATGCAATATAAGAGCAAGGAAGTATATATTATAAAAATAAAATGAAAGACCGAAAGTCTCCAGTCTTTCATTTCAACACTTTTTAATTGATGTGTCAATCAGTGGTCCCGCCTTTAAATACGGAAGAGTAGGAGTCATCATAGCGCCCCCTGTGGACAGATGTCCGCACAGCAGCTGTTCCACTAGCAGACTCAAACATGTGGACATCCGGTGAGTCCAACCGTCACTTTACTACTTCTTCTTCTTTTTCTTCTTCTTTTTCTTCTTCTTCTTCTTCTGGACATTTGTGTCAGAGGATGTTTCACTAGTGGATGAAAAGCTTGTTTTTGTGTGTTATTGTTTTGTATCTTAAAGAGGGTTCACTCTGCTCAAAGTGTGAGAAACAGAATGATTTGAACTGATTAGTTTGTTTGTTGTTTGTCCCTGAACGTGTTATTGTCTTGTTGATCTCTGGTTTCTTTATTGTATCATTCAATCTACTTTATATTGTAATTCCGTGTGTTTACAGACAGAAATGTTTGTTAATTCAACATGAAAAGTTTCTTTGTGGTTGAAGTTGATTCAACGTTAAAGAATCGTTTCTACAGCGTCTCTACATGTTGATAAAGAGTCTGAATCACTGAGGGTCCTGTTTTATATTGTAGTAACATGTAATAAATATTGTGAGACTGGGCCGACAGCCGGCTGTCACTAATGAGGAGTTTAAACTCAATGAGGGTTGAACCACTGTTGAAGAAGGGGACTCTTGTATTTCACACAAAGCTTTATTTCACCATGATGCATTCGACTTCTCTGGATTTAGACAATAAAGATTCATTTTTATGAAATCAGGAAGTAAATCAGGAAGTCACTTTTGGGGGGAAACTGCAAAGGCCTAAACCTATATCCCTGTTTTCAACTTCTTTCACTGACTTCACTCAGATGTTCAACTTTAAGGCGAGTTTTAAATCCTTTTTTAGATTTAATTGGAGAGCTTTTGTTTACAATCACATAAAATTAAGTTCAGTGGAACCACTTTAGTGTATTATATACAGGACAGGTGTTAATTAAGTTTGAAGCCCTCTATATGTCTGATGTCTCTGCTCATCATGTCCACTAGATAGAGCTCTGGTCTTGTGTGTGAAGCTGTGGGTGCTCTCCTGCTGCTGCCAGCAGAGGTCCACTCACATCCACGCTGACTCCTCTCCTCCACAGGGAGGCCACACAGCCTGAAATGTAAAACTTCCTGTTTTTTACTGTGATCACTCAGTAGCTTTTAATCATGGGAGACCTGTATATTATCTGTAATTAATGGTGCTGATTGATATTCACTGGATAAGAGAGTCACCAGGAGTTCAGGTGTGTGTTCATGTACGTACTTACAGTACACTGTGTATTGACTTTCTCTTGGTTTGCAGTGAATAAGAATAAAAAAAGTATGGTGTAATTTCAGAAGATTTTATGGTATAAAATGGTCAAATTCAATAATTAAACATATTTTTAACTTCAATTCAAAACTGCCCCCAGGAATGAATCAAAGCTCAGAATGAATCTGAGGTGGTCGTCTTGTTTATTGGAGACAAAGACACATGAATGCATGGGTCATATCAGGCTGTTTAATTCTAAATCAGCTGCTAATAAGCTGCTGATCTTGAACATGTTATTTCCTCTTAAAGTATTTACACATAAAAAAAATCCAATCATTGTGTCAATCGTGTCAATAATGTGAAAAAGTGAACCTTGGACTGTGGGAAAACCCTCAGTGACTCAGAGAGAATACACAAACTCCACTGCAGCAAATCACCTCTAGCAGCGCTTCACTCGGTGAAACAACCAGTGTTCACCTATAGGCTACAGAACTCAGAGAGAAGCTCACAGGAACAAGCTTACGCAGCAAAACTCCTCCAACTTAAACAAAGATTAAAAACAACATGTTTACAGATTCTTTCAGTTCGGTCGTCTGTCTCTCAGCGTGAAGTTATCCAGGTTGTTTTGACGAGGCAGCCTGCAACTGATCAGACACAATAACAGTCCACGACAAGCATCATTATCTTTACGGCCTTGTGTGGTCATGCAATGCTTTTGCTGTATCAGCAGAAACAACAAGCACTCAGCTCTTATTCCTGGAGGAAGGAAGGCTGAGAGATGTTGAATCACCTTTCGGATGGAGACGCATGTGTCCCTGCAAATACTGGAGCCACAACCACAGTAACTGTAACAGAGATGTAGAACTCATGATGTCACTGACCAGAAATCATGTGTCATGTGTCTACAGATAAATGTCCAGATCTACAGAGCAGATTTCTATCGTGCACTAAAATAACCTTGTAGTGAGGAAGTAATACTAAGACCTCAGTATTCTGGATGTGGGTGTTTTGGATAGAAAATGTTTTGTTCTATTACGTGAGCAGATTTAGTCGTGTATGCACAGACTCAGCACAAAGGTGATTTGACAAAGGTCGGTGTGTGATACCAGTGTGAGATCAGAACACATGGACCAACCCCCTGCAGGTAAAATGATCCAGTCTCCTCCTGTGCATGTATTTATATCTCATTATTACTGCAGAGGAGAAGTCATTCACTGCTGGTCGACACCAGAGGTTGTGAGGTTTAGGACGTAAATACAGATTCAGCTCCTCAGAGTGGAGGAGCTGCAGGAGGAGGGGGGGCATCTAAACAGGGAGCTATGCTGACGATGAATCCGTGTGACACAGCGTTCCTACAGGCAACACCACCCCCCCATCCACTCTGGGTGACACGTGCACTTGACTTCTCTGTCTCACTCTTTCACTCTGTCTTTCTCTCTCACTCTCACTCTCTCTGTCTCTGTCCCCCCCCCCCCCACCCTGTCTCTCTCTGTCCCTCTCTCCTGATGAACCTGGGATCTACACCATATTTCACACACTTAGATATCAGTCCCCCAAACAACATGTTCTTATCATGATCTGTGACTTATTCTCTGAGAAATCAATGAGTGTCTCAGCCCCGAAATGAAATGGCTTCTTCCTTAGGTTGTGCCTCCTCCATGTTAGTGGATGAAACAGACCAAACAAAAAAGTACACATCAAATTTATTTGTCTCAAGTGTTCACATTCCTGATCGGTTTAGTTTGAATTATAGTTTGATGCTATAAAAACAAAGGTAAACGTCACCTTTGACAGTTGAGACTGACTCATGATTGGTGGACTATTGTGCAGACTCTGACTCCGAAAGCACAAGATGACAACATTCAAACTTTCATTACAGAGACGTATATTTCTTAAAAACAAAATTACACCTCTGATATTGTATCATTTGTCAGAGCTCCGAATCAAATATCTGTTCTGTAAGTTACTTCGCAACAGTTACCTTTTTAGTTAGTGAGTAAGGCTGTTTGTCTGTCAGCTGAAGTTTGGAGATGTCAACAGATAGAAAATTATCTTTTTTTTCTTAATAATAATATAAAAGTGTATTTTTGTCCTTTTATTCAGTCCTTGCATTTGGCTGCAGCTCTCTTACGTCTGTGGAGTGTGGAGGTCACAGTGTGACGTTTGGGTTTCGACAGCAGCAAGGTGGACAGGACATGATGTTCTCAGCTGATGGCCTCTCATCATGTCTACAGTGTCATGTATAGAAGCAGCCGAGTGGAGGACATCATTAAACCTTCATGTAAAGCGTGACGTGGGTCATCTACTCTGGATTTGAATGGAGAGTGCAGCCTGATATTAAATAACAAGATTTAGTTTGTGAGGTTGCAGTAGCTGTAAAAGCCAGTTCAGTGACATGGGTTAAGTTAGAGCTTCCTCTGTGCTCTCCTTTAGCAACAAATCCCACTGTGGCCTGTGCAAAGCGTCTGTGACGTTCTGTTTATGTTGAACACAGATTGGCAGAACCCAACTTACTGCATGTTTGTTCGTTCCTTTCTATGTTGATTCTCATTCATTGGATCTTTAAGTTTCTGTGAAGGCTTGTTTTTTTCCTACATTTAAGGAAACTCTGAAAGGTAAAGTTTCCCCTAAAGGTCGCTGCAGGTACTAACATGTCAGACTGCAGCTCTGTGACTCTTTGGCTGCGGGGAACTATTTGTCAATGATTAGGGATGAAAAAAATCAAGTCAGTTTTTTCTGTTCTGTTGCAGTTACAGTGATCGTTTTTGTTTTGTTGACCTCTACTTATGCAGATCATTTATTTTTCTGGCACTCTGAACCATATTACAACCAAATGCTGTCCCAAGCCTCAGGTTTGAGTCTTCATGGTCAAAGTGTCCTTGAGCAAAGCACAGAAATCTCCTCTTGATTCTCCTCTTGAACTCTTCTTCCTCTCCTAGAATATGTAATATGTGTAAACCCGACGGTGCTGTCCTGTCACCTCACACAAGAGACTGTTAACCTTTCACGTGTGTTCACGTACAGATATCACGTCGCTTGTTGACATCTTGGTTTTGTTTCCTTCTGCTCTCACACTCCTCACCTGCTTTTACCTGCAGAAATCAGAATCATCATTATCACGGTGCTCTTTCACCCCAGGCTGCTTGTGGGTGAAACTTGAAAATTGCAAGGTGCAGTGATGATTGGTTTCTGCCAAAGTCGATATCAGATGTTGGCCACAATGGACAAAAATACTTTGTTGTTCTCTCTTGGTTTGACAAATATTTAAAATTTGCATCTGACAGAACCAACACGAAGGTCAGTGTCAACATGCAGAGTGACGGAGGTT